TGTTCTATTCAGTTTATTCTCGAAATCGAAGGGTTAAAAACACGTACGGACACATAACTTTATGTTAAAATGAGTTACGACCTTTAAACTCGGAACACACGTGACAGCCCACAACCTTTTTCCAGACTGTACAAAATAATTGTACGTTTTAGCAAATACGGCTCAGTAGCGCCTCCTATTGTGCGATAGTCACATATACTTTCTCCGAACTACCCGAAATTTGGCACAGACATTCCTCATAGAATTGCAGACATATTTCAAAATGGCTTCCATTAGCCCCGCCACCCAGAAAGTTGGCTATTTTGAAAAATCGGCGTTATTCATGCATTTTCGCAAACACCTCCTAGGGAAAAGATCGGAAAAGTTCCAGTCCAGCACCAGTTCAGCCCATATCCAATATCATGCTAAATTGCGAATAAAATAGTTGCTAGCTCATTGGAGCGGACGTAACAGAGAATGTACCATTTTTGACGATTTACATGTCGCAAATGACTCCAAATACTCGCATATAGTTTTCCCGATATTCACGAAACGCTGTATTGCTATTATGATGGTACACATATTTCAATTGGCTTTTCATTAGCCCCACCCCCCACAAAAATGACAATTTTGAAAGATGGCCGATTTCTCATGCATTTTGAGCACATTTTTGCACACTGCTCTTAGGGCAATTATCGGAAACATTCCATTCCAGGACCAGTTCAGCCCATATCCACAGCCATGCTAAATTGGGAGTAAAAAAGTTGCTAGCTTTATCGGGGCGGTCGTATGCTAACAGAATATACCATTTTTGACGATTTACATGTCGCAAATTACTCCAAACTACTCGCATATGGTTGTTCCAATATGCACGAGACGTTGTATACACATTGCTCTTATGATTGCGGACATCTTTCAAACTGCCTTCCATTGGCGCGGCCCTCAGAAAGTCGGCCATTTTGAAACATATGCAGTTTCCATGCCTTTTCTGCACATTGCAAAGGCCTCCTAGGGAAATGGCCGGATAACGTCCATTCCAGGACAAGTTCAGCCCATATCCAATGCGATGCTACTTTGCGAAGGAATAGTCAGTCCCATGAACGGGGCTAGAATGTACAATTTTCCAACATTTAGATGTCAGATAAGCTACTCTGCCTTCCACATCATCTGTCTCTTTCTCTCTCTCTCACACACACACACACACACACACACACACACACACACACACACACACACACACACACACACACACAACACAAACACACACACTCACACTCACACTCACACTCACACTCACACTCACACTCACACTCATACACACACATACACACTGCTGGCAATGATGTTGAGAGTTAGTCCAGCAGCTCCCTATACACTCCATAACACACACATACAGCTCTGACTTAAAGCATATAATATCAGGCTGCAGCCCATGTATATGTTATGATGTTAAGCACTATTTGGTTTCATGAAAAATATCAAGTGTTTATTTGTAGATATCTACTAAAGCAGGGGTGGGACCTTTTTCCTCTCAAGGGCCCATTTCAATTTTTTAGCATAGCTAGCTAACCAGATGCTAATAACAACAAAGTTATTGACTGTATGATCAGCATGACAGATGAACAGATCGCCACTGGGCTTACAACTAAAGACACAGCCACGAAAAAACTGCAGCATGTGTACGGCTCCTTATCTGAAGTGCCGAGCCATGTTCTGGTGCTCTCCGTCAGAACTCCACCCCTGTCAGACGAGACATATACCACGTTATGGCTCGTGTTGTGTTCATGGACCCTGACCTTGGCCAGGAAAAACAGGCACTCGCTAGATTTTTTTGCGGTCTAGATTTCTTATTTTTTTTTCTTTTTTGCGTGTGTTTAAAAATTACCTCGAGGGCCGTACCAAATTGTCTCGTGGGCCATATACGGCCCGGGGGCCGGAGGTTCCCCACCCCTGTACTAAAGCATACAAATAGTGTGTAATGTAGGCCTGTTACTTATATTATTGAGAGATTAATATTACACACACTGTTCTGCTTTCTGCACTGGCCTCAGCAGCTCTTCTCACTGTAAATGTTGGCTCACAATTAAAGCAGTTGTATTAAAAACATACATAGCCTAATATCCAGAGGAGATGAGTTTATTGAGTAAACAAACGGTCAAGGGCAGAAAGTCGGCACCACACACCACGGTTACTGCTCCTCCAGACAGCCTCCGCGATAATCGATCCTCGACGGACCTTTGCAGAAAATTGTTTTCCTTCGAGGCGGCGCGCCCACATACGTTTCCTGGTCGCTGCCGGAGGACCTGGGAGTCCAGGACGCCAACATTTCAGAAATGACGAACGGCTAATTTCTGCTTCTGACCGGCTGCCCTCCCCGACAGGCGCACGAACGCAAGGGCCCGCTCATCACTGCGCGCACATCTGTGACCGCAGTTTTAATTATTATTATTATTCAATTGTAAACAAACACTGCTCAAAAATATCTCATTGGTCAGAGAGCTGTGGGCATAATGCTGCCTTTTGCAACATCCTACTTGTGTGAGATAGGCTTTTCTGCTGTTGCTGCCATCAAAACGAAATACAGATCAAAGCTGAACATTGAGAATGAACTGAGAGTTGCAGTCTCAAAACAACAGCCCCGGTTTGAGAAGATCTGCAAGGGAAAGCAAGCACACACAAGTAATTGATAAGCTATGTGTGGAATGGTAAAGTGATGTGATCGTTTGCAACCTGCAGTAGAAATAGTAGTTCATTAATATATTTTCCTTAAAGAAATTTGAATTAAAAAATCTACTGCTCAGGGAAGAAGGCCAACCAGTCATCCCTCATTACCTCATCCCTCTGTTGGAGGGGCAAAGGACTCTGGTGGGATTCTTTTCGGAGTATTGCAGATCGTTTCCCGACATCAAAGGTGCCTGCCACAGGACAACACGGAACGTGCGCGATTTGGACGCGATGAGTGGGGGGGGGGTTTAGTGGAGCACGCGCGTGAGCTGCGAGCATCAGAGCCTCGCAGCGTCGGAACTGAGGCGCCGTGGTAAACTGTGGTAACATGAAGAGCCGAAACAGCCGGCGCTCAGAGCGCCGCACCAAATGATCCGGCTCACTAACGTAAAAAGACAGTATCTATAAGGGACGACTCAAGTCTAACCCCCCGCTCTCGGGGTGGACGCCCTCTCAGCCCTGGTCTGGTGGAAACACTGGTCTGACGGATTACGTTCTTTCATCATATTAAAAACGATGTATCTCAAGATGCGTTGGAGTTAAACTGATATTTTCCAAAACCCTGTGGAGAAATCCCATTGCTTTTTGTCGAGGGAACCAGCAGCTTACTTCCTGGTTTTAGGATGCGTCACTGCACCTCTCTATATGATGCCAATAATAAACAAGGCCTTCTGTCGGCTCTGTACATCAATGCCGACCTATGCTGACAAGTAAGTGAAGAGTAGAAAATATAAAGGTATTGGCTACCTGCTATAGGGAAATGTCCCAGCAGTTTAGGATAATGAAGGTTCTAATCAAATCTATTACATAGCCATTACATTTCTAACTCCTGATAATGACAGGTAGGCAGTAAGCGCATTATACAAATAATAATACTCATAATAGCAGACATTTTTTAACAATGACCACAATATCATTATTTTAATAAACCAAATATGAACAATTGAGGAAAATGAGGAAGAACTGATGATTCAAATGTTGTAGTACAAGTTGTAATGTAGTTTGTGCATAAATTACTATTGCAACAAATGTGTTAATTTTCTTCATTATTAGTCGATTTTTTTTTTTGGACGAATGCTCCGGGCCAGTGGTTATAATGGTGGGGCCAGTGATAATACAATTCCACCGGCCCGGAGGGCCAGTGGCATTTTACCCTTAATGTCTACCCCTGAATTTATATATTTGTTTTGCAGACGACCATGTTTTGAACCATGTTCACAACCACATTTATATCTATTGGTTATATAAGAGTAGACACTAGGGCTGGGAATCGCCAGGCTCCCTACGATACGATACTATCGCGATACTTAAGACACGATACGATAGTACTGCGATTCTACGATACGATATATTGCGATATTGCAAATCACATGGCTCATATCCATGTCCGTCTTCCCTTCCTGGTTAAAACATGTATTTGCAATATGAATAGTTTATTGAAATAACCCAATTTGTATTCTTTGAACTTAAAACGGAGATGGCTTTGTTACTTTCATTGCCATTGTATACATGTATTAACGTAACTTCCTGTTTTATATACGACCCTCTTTCGGAGGGATATGCTACAGTTTATGTAAAAAAATATCGATACTTGGCATCCGTGTATTGATACAATATCGCCACGCAAAGTATCACGATACTATTCTGTATCGATCCCCCACCCCTAGTACACACAGTGGGGAGATTTCTCATTCAATTGATAATAAATGATTGAGTGTTAACATGAAATTTGAGTCTTCTAACACGTCTGCATTCATGTCATTGATCTCCACAGATACCCAGCAGCAGGAGTGTAGCCTCTGTGTTGTAGAGGAGGACCCAGAGCCCCCCCACCTTAAAGAAGAAGAGGAGGAACTCTGGTCCAGTCTGCAGATAGAGCAGGAGGTGGCTGATACTTACCTCCCTTTCACTTCTGTGAAGAGTGAAGAAGGGGATGAAGAGAAGGCTCAGTCCTCCTCACCGCTTCATGAAATCAAGACTGAGAATAACCGAGAGGTAGAGAAAACAGAAAGTGATGAAGAGGAGTGTGAAGGATCAGATCCAGATGATCCTTTACAACCAGCTACTCAATACACAAGTTCACACTCTGAGTACGAGACTGACGACAGTAGAAATAGGGAGAAACGGCAAGACAATGAAGTACCCGGAAGTGGCATTGAGGGGGATGATGGGTGTGCTAGAAGCTTTGTGCATGAGGGGAATCTGCAGAAACACACTGGAGAGACACTTTATAGTTGCACCTTCTGTGATTTCACATCTGCGAAAAGGTCAGGTTTGACCAAACACCTCGAAGTTCACAGTGAAGCAAAACCTCAAAGCTGCTCAGTTTGTCAACAAACATTTAAAAGGAGAGGTGAGTTGGTGTCGCACATGAGAATCCACTCAGGGGAGAAACCATTCAGTTGTCCTGTTTGTGGTAAAGGTTTCGCATACAAGTCTATTCTGAATAGACACTATACTGTCCACACAGGGAAGAGACGAGTCAGCTGCTCAGTTTGTAGTAAAACATTTGCAACAGGAGACAATCTGAGAACACACCACCTGATCCTCCACACTGGGGAGAAACCATTCAGTTGTCCTGTTTGTGGGAAAGGTTTCGCATACAAGTCTATTCTGAATAGACACTATACTGTCCACACAGGGGAGAGACGAGTCAGCTGCTCAGTTTGTAGTAAAACATTTGCAACAGTGGGCAATCTGAGAACTCACCTGATCCTCCACACTGGGGAGAAACCATTCAAGTGTAAGGTTTGTGGTAAAAGATTCGCCGACAGGTCGAATCTGAAAAGACACTCAACTATCCACGATGGGAAAAAACCATTCAGTTGCACAGTTTGTGATAAAAGTTTCACATACAAGTCAATGCTGAATCAACACGTCCACCTCCACACAGGGGAGAAAGAATTCAGCTGTTCAGTATGTAGTAAAACATTCGCAACACGTGGCAATCTGACACAACACTCAACTGTCCACTCCGGGGAGAAACCGTTCAGTTGTACGCTTTGTAGTAAATCCTTCAACCAAAGATCAAATCTGAGAAAACACTTGATTGTCCACTCGGGGGTGAAACCGTTCAGTTGTACGCTTTGTAGTAAATCCTTCCCCCACAAATCAAGTCTGAAAAAACACTTGATTGTCCACACGGGGGAGAAACCATTCAGTTGTTCACTTTGTGGAAAACACTTTGCACAAATGACAAATCTGACACAACACTCAATTGTCCACTCCGGCCAGAAACCATTCAGTTGTACGGTTTGTGGTAAAGGCTTCTCCCAGAGGTCACATCTGAGACAACACGCATATGTCCACGCCGAGGAGAAACCATACAGCTGCTCAGTTTGCAAGAGAGGTTTCACTTGGGTGTTCAAATTAAATAAACACAAGTGTGCTGGTGAGAGAAGCAAAATAGAGTGAAGTTGCAGAGATGTTTTTCACGTTTTGTCTTGCTGCAGATATGTTTAATAGAGTAGTGTAGTGTAGAGTCCTAAAACCCCGAAGTGAGTTAGCATTTTACCACTTCGTCTCAGAGCCAATGGGTTTTTTTGAACATGTTTTCTTAGAGAGCGCCATGTGTAATTATTTGTCTCTCCCTGTCTGCCGCTAACACGCCTGTTCACTCTCCTCTCCGCTTCTCTCCCTGTATCGCTAATTATTCTCTTCACTCACTTTCCTCTCCGCTTCTCTGTTACAAAAATGCGTCTTCCCTGGACCGCTCTATGGTGTTGGGTTATACATGCTGTGTGAGTTGAGTGTAAATAAAGAATCGCAGAAATTCAACCTTGATGGTTTTCTTGTTTTTACTTTGCTTTTACTTTACTAGTCGGTTCAATCAACAGAGCAGTACAAAGAATAATGGAAATGTAATTACACACCGTTATGTTAATGGGAATATTATTTAGCCTTTGCAACCATTTACATGCACTAAAACCTATAGAATACACTAGAGGAGAGAGAAAAGCCCAACAAGCATGATAGGGCCTCTTTAACCTCTTAAGCCCTGACCCTGTTTTTCAGGTTTCAGGCTCGAAAATGCCACTAACACAACAAAGACTATATCTTCACTTCTAAAAGGGGTAAATTAATAATCTTTTATCTCAAAGCAAGGTTACATCTGTGAGTTGGATGTAGAAGTGTCAGAATCAATATAGATGTTTCTATTTTAAATTAAATTCAGATGGAACATAGTAAAAACATGTAAATTCTAATGTCCGCCTCACTTATAGTGAAAACCACCCTTGAAGGATGGGTTAGTAGACTGAAAGCTTTAGGAATCCAAACTATAACATATAATAAGTACCCTGTATCAAGATTGATGCAAAACAAGTGAAATTTGACCTTTTTAGAGAGATTTAGAAAAATAAAGTCCAGGCGGACTCACCTCTGGGTAATTTGGGAACCATCAGTTCCATTTGAACTTTTTCACTGTAAAAATCCTTTTTTTACTTTGAATTATCACTATAGGTATTCATTCCATCCAAATACAACTGTTGTGAAAAAAATAAAAATAAAAATAAATAAAACATACTCTGTTATCCTCTTAGGCCCCACGGACCCGAAATCTTGTCATTTGCAGGAAACAATGTCAAAGGAACCTTAATATTGAATAAACTATGAATATTTTATATCCATATAACGGAAAAAACTCATTTAACTGATCTTTTTCATTTATTTTTTCAAAAAAAACACAATGCTAACAGTGAGCCTCTGAATTAGCCCCGAGCGAAAAATGCTAACCTATTACTGCACCGAAAATCACTCCTAGCTCCCTTATTACTTATCCTAGCTCCACATCCAACACATTGTTTATGATCGTAAAGACACAGAATCTAACGGTGCCCACCTCAACACTGAAAGATACAAACTCGCGAGGTTATCAACAAAAACGTACATCAAAACAAGTGGCGCTAGGTACTAACATGCGCTTGGCTAACATAGCTTACCTTCCTCTTTGTCTGGTCTAAACTGGTCTTCAATGGCATTAAAACGATAAAAACGATGATGTAGTATATCCATAGGTTAATATCCAATGGGGCTGTGTCCCCTTTGAAATGTTCTGATAATCTATAAGCAATAAAACTGCAATTCCGTTATCTGCTGTCCACTCTGTGCTCCGTGCGCTCTGGGTCCTGCAATTCCTGCTTCCTTCCGAAGTAAACAATAAGTAAAGTCTGCTGCGTAATGTACTTACGCTGGCTGGCATTCTTTATACTTTACGCAGGACGATATCTCTGGAACCCATTGGTCGATTTGGGTGATTTACACCTTTTTCTTAACCATTACATCCAATAGAATCAATGGGCAGTTCCCAAATCCACGTACACATTACCATAGCGGACGTAATAGAGAAGCAAACGAAGCATATCTGAAAGTGCAAGCCTGGACGGCAAAACTTTATACCCAGTATATTGCCATAAATATGATGATGGATTATCAGTAAAAATGTCTACGTGACACAAAGACATTGGATTAACCTTGAGCGGTGTTTTTATTCCGTTGAACACAACTTTTGATCACAAATCAAAAAAGGTAAGATGTAATTATTGTAATATTTTTGAAACCGGATGTTGTTTACTTTCTCTTTTCTGGCTGATAGCTCCAGGAATTCGGGGTCGTACAGTGATGACATTACATGTGTGGAATCTGTGGAGTCTCAGCTTTAATCTGATATCTTGTTTGTGCAGTTACGATAAGTAATAAGGGCATTTCTACCGTGAGTGCTGTGCAAAAGTCCGTTAGCATTAGTTAGCATTTTTTCGCTCCATGCTAATTCAAAGGCTTGGTATTACTCTTGTGTTTCTTTTAGCTAAACATAGTTCACATTGTCAGTTAGCTGAGTTTCTTACCGTTAAAAGGGTATGGAACATTAATAGTTTCATAAATGTTAAGAAGCCCTGAGACATAGTCTCGTAAAAAAACGGTGGGAGGGGTCCACTGGGGGGACCCTCGGGCTTAAGAGGTTAAGACACAACATGTCCTTTTCTTGTGATCACTTCTCAATTCAACAACTTATATTCATTACACGCTTAAGGAAATCAGATTTTGAATTTGATGGATGTAGAAATTAATAGCGTTGGTGGAGCAGTCTCTCTTTTAAAATGAATCTCTTCTTGGATATATATCCATCTTTATAAATGGAGCAGTGCTACTCAACTGATTTGCTTACAAGGGATAGTCCTGGGATTTTGTTGGGAGAGAGGGGGGAGGGGAGAGAGGTGACACCCTCTTCATCCCACCTGTGAGGCAGCCCAGTTTTCCCACTGACTTGTTGGTGCTGGTTAATCATTCCTCTCCCCTCCCTCACTCAGACTCTAGCAAACCTCCTCATTTGGAAAGGAGCTCCTCGTGTTGTCAGACATGTTGAGGATTATCCCCTTTTTGTTCCTCGTGCTTTGCGGTCCGGTTCTCGGTGGGCCGCAGACAAACTTCCACGGAAACATGACGGACCAGGAGCTGTTCTGGGGAACCGACCAGTACGACTTCTACGTGGTGGTTCCTGCCGCCGGCCTCGAGTGTTTCTGGCACTTTGCTCACCGAGGAGAGAGGTTCTACCTGAGCTTCATGGTGAGGCCCCGACACGAGAGGAATGTTTCAACGTTTAGTTTGACTTCCTCTTAAACCCGGCCCCCCCGATACTGGGTGGAAAAACACGTCACTGCAGGAGACAGCGTCTGGGGGCTTCTTAATATTTAAAAACCTATGAATGTCTTATACTCAAATAACGGGAAAAAACTCAGCTGAGATAGCAGACAGAAAAGAGCAAGAAAACAACATCAGTGTTCTAAAGCATAACAATAATTATGTCTTACCGTTGCTGTTTTGTGATCAAAAGTCGTGTTCAAGGGAATAAAAACGCTGCTCAAGGTTAATCCAATGTCTCTTAGTCACTTTAGAATTGTTCCTGATAATCCATCATTACATTACATTACATTACATTACATTGCATTTAGCTGACGCTTTTATCCAAAGCGACTTACAATAAGTGCGTTCGTCCAACAAAATTAAACTTGAAGAAAACAGAATCATATAAGTACATCAGGTTTCATAGAGCAAAAACATTTCAAGTGCTACTCAACTGGCTTTAGAAAAGCCAGTCCTTTATTAGTATAAAAGTGCTTCGTTAATAGTTCTATCGCTCGAAGTGGAGTCGAAAGAGATGAGTTTTCAGTTTGCGCCGGAAGATGTGCAAGCTATCTGCCGTCCTGATGTCAATGGGGAGTCTCATTCCACCATCCTGGAGCCAGGACAGCAAACCCACGTGTTTTCGCCGTTGGGAACTTGGGTCCCCCTCGCAGCGAGGGGGACCCAAGTTCCCCTCATGGCCGCAGAGTAGGTATAACGTTTTGCAGTCCGGGG